ATAGACGTTTGAGCTATTATCCTACTATTCCAATATTTTGTCTTAAAACTTGTGACATGAACCACAGGGATCCGACTAAACGATGTTTTGCATTTATGAGCATTGGCCCGACTGATAGTTATACCACACTGATAGTTTTACAAAGGCAAAATTATATCATAGGCCTACTATACATACTTGTGGTAAGAGACCGAAAGTTATTAGACGAATTATCGGACCAAAGGGCATTAATCCCTCGACAGGTACTAATTCTTTTCTAAATTGTTCACTCACCCAAACGCACCAACTTCCCCCACACACATACACCTTTTGCCCTCCCACTCACACTCCCTCACGTATTTAACTGTTATTTCTAATTTAATAAACAGGGAAGAGGAAATAGGATCTGACATAACAGCAATAGTAAATTGTTTACAGTAGGGTATATGAATCGACGGATATCTATAATTCCATGTAACATGCGCACGCACCCACACACACAATCGCGCACGCCACCCCCGTTCATCATTTCCTCCTATCCACCCGACTACACGCACTGACTCGGAAATAGAGTTTTATAATAAAATATTGTAAAGTACTTTATTTCAGTAGGTTTGGGTATAACTCGATAGGTTTCCATTTTTAAGCTCTCTTCTTCTCCCTCTCTCCCTCTCTCTCTTTCTCTTTCTCTCTTTCTCTCTCTCTCACACACACAAACGCACACCCACACATACACACGCACACCTCACTTAACATTCTTAATACTTGTACATAAATTCACAGAAATTTATTATTTCCACAACCACACAGTACGTACCCCACATAAAAAGACCTCCTCCCCCCAAAATATACTTGTTGTTATCAAACAAGGCACATAGATGTAATAATCGCATTTTATTGATATGTGGATGTATAAATGAAGAGTTTAATTCCAAAAGGAACTAAATCCACTTTTGATGAAAATTGAGTTATTGATATCAAAACATTGTTCACTTAAGTACCTGTCTTTCAAGAAAAGTATTTACCTAAATTTTGTGAGCAATTATGAAAACATGCACCTTCTAATATCGCTCTTCCATAGATGCCTGTACAAAGCCTGGTAAACAAATTATTTTTCCCCTGAAGTTACAAAAATAGATTTAGCTCCTATTGGCATTAGTCTCTTCATACATAGATACATATGGGGCGATGGATGATGCTAGGAATAGTCACTAGCCAGGAGCAAATCAGCACTTATCATCCTTCACTCAGCCTCCAGACTTCATATTTCTGAAAATTGTAGTGTAATAGACCACTTAAAGGTTACTTATCCCACAGTGCAGCTGTATTACAATTTGTATATCAGTAGGATATACAAAATAATTTTAAAGACATTCTAATTGTTAAGGATTAAAGTTCATAAAATGAGATATTATTTTTTGGTTCAAGGTTTTCAAAAAAAAATGTTAACTAGGGCATGTAGGAGTTAATTTCCCAGCCCAGAAGTTTAGCAAACACATCGACTATTACAATTGTTATCATTTTTTTTAAACACGGTTCGTGTTTGCTTCCTAAAACAATCCGGAGCATTTCATTCTTCAAACTGAGATGACATCAACAACTCTATTCATAAAATCATGCCCTGAATAATAATGTCTTCTACCGAAATCATGCCATGAAATATTGATCTTCTTTTTTTTTTCTCTCTCTCTGCAAACGTATTTGTCATAGTTCCCGGAACTGGAAGACTATCCACTTAACAGCATTCTAAATATTCCATTGAATATGTTAACACCATTGCCCATATATATTCTGATTGGTCTTAGCAAGTGCCTCTCTGTTTGATACATAACGTGCCATTTTGTAAAATTTAAACATAAATTATCTTTGGCATTTCGCATCACATACGTTATGTACTAATGTGTCAAGATTAAAATAAAATGTAAACCCTGTAGAAAGTAATTACTACTGCAACACTGCATTGTATCTTTCTCTCTTTTGAAAAAAATAACCGAATTTCGGTTAATATATGAGCGATATCAATATACGATGTAATCTGAAGTTCTAGTATTGTAGAAAAAGAATGTTACGTTAGATTCCTTTACTTATTTTTTACCTAATCTCCTTTTAAAAGGCAGAATATCCACTGGGGATAAAACAGTAAGGGTTGGAGGAGAAGAAAACAAAAATCCATAACCATAATTTACAATAAGAAATCTATCTTTTAAAGGCGAAGTGTAGAGTAAAAAAACAGAAATAAATGAATCAAGGTGTTGAACTTTAAAGGGCAAGAAAAAGACGAAGCTTTGCCCCCCTCCCTTCTCGCCCCGTGCCGCCAATGACGGCATGTACGATACTTGCAAGGATGCAAATCTGTTCTTATCGTACCAAGATGCGTGGTGCTTTTAATGACACCCCCAATTCCTTTGCATCTCCTGATAACACTGAAATATATACAGAGTGTAGGTGAGCCTGCTGTATCATAAATTGTTATGATTACGTTATAAACATCAGTGTCTTCTAACAGGTAATTTCATTATTCTTCACCCCTGTTGAATTCAGTACATCGCACACACGAATATTCACTTTTCTTGAAAACAATACCTACTTTTTATAATGAGTTTTTACATGTATTGTTTACCTATTAATATGAATATATTTCAGTTTAGAACCATTTATACATTTATAATATTATTTGCCTCAATTAGCCTCTTATCAATAATATCCGTATTATCTTAAATACAAAGGAAAATCATTACTGCCAAGTATAACTACATCCACATATCATGTAATGGAAGTAATACCCATATCACATCTGACGTGATGATCATATATTGTATTAAGCGCTATATAAAAGCTAAATATTATTAATATTATTATTATTATTATTATTAAAGACATTAGATCCTACTTTCTAATCTCGACTAAATCTCTATTTTCCAATTCCGTTACACGTCTGGAAGGCATCTATTTCTCTTGTGAGTGAGCGACCGATGGGATTTCCTTAAATTCTCCAATATGACCTTACTTAATGATAGAAATTCGCTTTTCTTGAACTGATTCGAGTGAAAGAACTCAATTGTAATGGGATGATAAAGGTACTGTTGATTAAACTCAAAAAATTGATCCGAGAGGCAACAATAATTGTCCGCTACTGATGTGAGATTACTTCTGAAGTGATGATGATATTCTTGATTTTAGATTTATTCGTAACGCGTTCACACTGAAAATGGACATTGATTTTCTCCTTTCCAAGACTTTTCATTATAATTGCCGATGTAATTGTATTTGATGTCGAGTCAATGCGCAACATTCGGAAAATAGTACTCAGGCGAATATACAAATTTGTTTTTACGAAAGCGGAAGATGACGCGAGATTTCGTAGATTTTTGCCGTAGGGTTTTCACACAAAGTGTCGGGTGTATCGGACCAGGCCATTTTGTAGATGAGAGGTATTTATTTCACAAACATTACCCCCGATATTTCGTTAAAAAAGTGCATGTTATAATCAAAGGTAGGGTAACTCGACCACCTGGGGAGGGGGGGGGGGGGGTCACAAAGCTTTTCATCAGTGACAAATGACAGTTGTTGTTAGAAGCTACTGAAATCCTTGCTTCTGATTGGTTATCAACAGATTTGTCACTGATTTTGGTCATTTGTCATTGAAAAAAGGCTTTGTGACCCCCCCCCTCCCCGACCTGATGATTAAGCCCTAGAAAGGGTCGGTAGACGTCCACACTATCCCCTCACCACTGTTCACGGAATCAAATTGACTGAAAAACGATAAATGAAGAAGAATTTTCATTACCTTACATGCCTAAGAGAAGAATTTGACCGTTATACATCTACGAAGATTTTTTTATTTTTTATCTATTTTTTTTAATTTCCAGGCAAGATGATAACATACAAAACATCACAATGTTGACAAATGATAGAACATACTGTAAAGATAATGATATTTAGCACCAGCCAATGCCTGAGGATCACCTAAAAGAATTAAAACAATTCTGTCGAGAGGCTCTCCACAAGATGGATGTTACGGGCAATGTTTATTCTTGTCACGTAACCCTTTTATTTGGACATGTTAGAAATGACTCGTCGTAAGTGAATCTTGGTTTTAACAAAAAAAGGGAAGATAGATTATCAAATTATCGCGCAGCCAGTGTGATATGAGCTCGTATTCCATCAAAGCTCATTCGCTGATTGCACTTCATTATGCAAATCCAATACTATATTATTATTATTATCATATTTCGCACTCCACTAGTGAGAGCTCAATATGGGTGGTCTAAAACTGTAAAAGATCCAACACCGTCTGCGAAGTTCTTCTCATTTAGTTGAACCTTTTGGAAACCATTTCGGCTCATTAAGGAAAGCGACATATTGAGGCCTATTTACAATCAAATTCTGGAGGCCGGAATGATTACTGCGAGTGTCTTTCTTTACACAAGTATTCTCCGTTTGCTCTAACCAGCATACCAGGGTCAGACAATGACTGCTATACACAAAATAATATGATGAGCATTTCTCCTGAAACGAGAAAAAATGAATGGGCGGGAAAGGATAAATATTTCATCAAAAGTACGCACTGGAGGCCTGATTAATTTCTGGTAATTTGATTAGATAGATGTAGTTCAAGGCGTCATTTGTTTCTCTCTTTGTTCACGTTATGCCTTGCAAAATGATTCACTAACAGTACAAAGGAAATAACATTTTGGATTGTTGATTGAACCCCTTGACGGAGTAAGAATAATATTTTCAGCGCTTAAGTCAGTCAATGGTAAAATGCTTTATAAGAAACCAATATCATTATTATCATTATCATTATGATCATTGCTATTATCATTATTATTATTATCAAACTATCATTATGAAGTCATTATTTAATTATTATTATCATAATGATGAAGATGATGAATGTCATTTTTTTCGGAAATCGACCCCTTTGATTCTGTAAAACACAAATACCAACATAAATTAATCAACACCGAAAAGCCATTCAATTTTTGTTTTTTAAAGCTTTTATTCATATCGCGTGAAAAAATAGTCCTACACTTTGAAACCGTACTTTGGTCTCAATTTCCGTTTCGTACCCATTGCAAACGTATCAACATTTGTTTTCATTCATTCTTTTCAGGTCTTTGTGGACAATGTCGTAAGTCTCAAAAATTCATCAATGAAAACCTGAATTTATGCACGGCATGTCATTCTTCACCTATGTCAAGTAAGTATACAATCTTTAGCAACAATTTAAATCTCAAACCGCTTAGAAATCAATTGATATTGATTGATAATTGTTTTTAAGCCTTTCGTAAACGCACCTGGTAGAAAAGTGCCAAAGTCCAATTACAGGTGTACTTACGAACTTTTTATTTTAGGGAAACATATATCCAGTTGTCTCTCTGTGTGTGCGTGTGTTTGTGCGTGCGTGTACCTCAGAAATGCAAACAAAAATAAACGGTACTTCAAAATTCACCTGTCTCACAAATCGTTTCTTTTTCGTTCATCCTTTGAATTTACAAATAAACTTAAAGTTTATACGAGTAATCAAAGCGGAAGGACCATATTACAGTGGCGAGTCCCTCCCCGATCAATCTTTCTTAGAACTTTAAAACAATGCTATGAATGCTGTCTCCATCAAGCTTTAATGAATGCCAGTAACCCTGCATAAACTGTCTATCTTTAGAAAAGGGTTCGTGCTATGGCATGACGTGCCGCTCATTCATATCCCTCTGTTATGTATGCCCACGTGGTCTTCATTTCGCGCCAAGATACGAATTAGAAGATGAAAAAGAAGCCGTTGGAGTCGACATTTGGTAAACGAAACGCCCGGTTAGAATTCTCTTAAACAACTCAATATCGAGGACTTCTTTTTATAGTAAAGCTAAAGTGAACTATATCAAGTTACAAAATGTGTCTGTCTCTTCAAAGTTTCATTGGAAGTGTGTGAATCTGTGCCGCAAGGTCTAATTATTTCGTTTCTGCTCAGTCACGCTGCTTCTTTAACAGAGCTTTAGAAATATAAGTGCTTTCATCAATCTTAACTTGAGGGGGAAGCATCACTCAAAACACATGTCGTTCAATCCCGAAAAAGAATGAGCGTATTTACATTTCATAGTTAATAACCGAAGATACCATTTTATAAAAATCTAAACAGTTGCATTGTTCCAATCTTTTTGAGAAGATAATAAACTAAACATATTAAAATGATTTAACTTGACACAGTGCAAATAAAATTAAATACTTTTTACTTTGAACGATCTTACATTTGTTGATTTAAATCCTTAAATTAAGCCCCGATTTCTTTACAGGGTAAGGAAAAGAATTATACAGATATCGACTGACAGGGGGTATTTAACATTCTTTGGACCGTTGAAGGAGTTATATTTTCCCCAAGAGATTATATAAACATCGAGAGAAATGAAAAATATTGAAGAAAACAAATTTTGAAGGAAGAAATTAAATTTCCAAAAAAAAATTCAAGGGAAAAAAAGCAAACAATATTGACCCTCCCCCCTCTCCTCATCAACAACAATTACCCAAAATGTCAATATTTTGTGTTTTTCTCGAAATTGGTGGTGAATGGGCCTTTAGAGCGACATGCATGTTATAAAAATATACTATAACAACGTTATATTAACCGGTTGGGTAATAGAACAATTATGATCCTCGCAAGTACTGTTACGTCACGAGCTCTGGACCAATCACATTTCGGTATCTGTCTAAGCTATCTAATATAGTTTAATACTAACAATTCTAAACGGCTCTTCATGTTATGGGCATAACTAGTCAAAACAAAATGATTTTGAACAAATATTAGATGGATTTGTGTGTAGGCAGAAATACAATTTGTATTTCGTTGTTCTTGGGCACATTTTACGTGTAAGCAGGTCTTTAAAAGATGCCTTTTTCAGATATCTTTCTAATTTCTGTCACTACGAGACTTGTTTTTCTATCCTCCTACCGTCATGTTTATCAAATTAATTGCTATGCATCCAAACGGCCATATTACTGACGTTTAGAGTCGGTCTACTAAACTTCAGTAGGGAAATATTGGAGATATGTACTACCCTGTATAAATATCAGAAAAAAATAAGATAAATAAATTTATACTATGAATCCTGGATCATAGGCACATACTTCATTTTCTTTTTTCTTTCACAAACACTCGTACATAGGACCCCCCCCCCCCAAAAAAAAAGGAACAGCAGATTATCAATATAAAAAAACATTTAAGGTGCAATATTAATGTTCAGCATATAACTTTTGTCATTAACTAAAGAAACTCTATAAAAGGTTACTTATGGAAAATCATGTTCTGTACATGAAAGAAAGAAGAGACCTTATAGAAGCTGGGCTTGATAGAGCGAGGTCCCCAAACAGAATATAATACCTGAATGCTTTAATTACTTTGTAGAAAAAAACTAAAAAAACGAAATTACATTATAAGACTAGAAACAATTACACATGGGAAATATATTTTCAAAAGAGATAAATTGATGTATACAGTGCGTCCCAGAAGAAAACAAAATCGAGAATTATCGATGTTTTATCATTACTTAATCACAATTATAATTCCTAAATGACACATATTTGTAAAGCTTAGATCCTCCTCTTTCATGTGATGCAATTCATATGAAGCATATATCACGCATCATATCGTATTTCACATCGTATGACTTGCATCAAATGAAAGAGAAGGATCTAAGTTATACAAATATGTTTAATTTATAATTATGATTGTGATTAAATTATGATACAACATCGATATTTCACGGTTTCGCTTTTTCTGGGACGCACTGTATATGAAAAGGAGAAAATGGGAAGAAGAAATAGCTCACATTTATAATGCGCCTATACCTCTCTTTATATAGTCGAAATTGGAGTCGTGATTTGAGCGATTTGAGCCATTCCCGTAAAGAAACGAACAATGCCAGTAACGGTCAATAGTTCCTGAATGAGATTCCTTAAAGATTCCGGACACCGAGAAATAGTAACATTTTGATGAGATCCCGATTGGCTTACGTGTTAACAGTTACTGTGTGCGAGCGCGGATACCAAACAGTGCTTTTCGTCTGCGTTTTCCAAATGATTGTAATATTTAGTCATTTTTCCAGCGAAGATTAGCAGACAGTGTCTCAAATTGTCTGTGAAGTTTCAACCAATCTTTACTCAAGAAAAGGATGAGGTAAGAATTCTTGGTAGATTTTTGTGTCGATTCGGTATATAAAAGATATATCGACTGCTTTAATATTCGAGGCCTGGCTGTTTCTATACTGGCTCAAGGGGACGTTGCATCCTGCCATGACCCCGAGGCGCGCCTGGGCGAAACAGCCAGGCCTCTCATAGCAGTCGATATATTTGTATTATCACTTCGGTCATACAAAATAATGGAGTGCAACAGCGCAAAACAGAACAAAAAACAACAGAGAACAGTTAAGAAGGAAGAAATATATAAGGCTTTACATGGCTAACGCCCTCAAACGGATAATTTATTTTTTTATTTTATCGTAATCCATATATAACGGCCGGTGGCAGTAGTGAATGTATACAGGGAATTATCCGGTAATGAAAAACATCCCCTTTTTACGGTCACGAAAAAAACTAATAGTAATTTGCCTGAAGTATATTACGATCGAATATTAAGTGACATAAGCATAGATTTAATGAACACTGTATATAAATAGCAAACTATTAAAAAAACCTACTTATGTAACACTGAATGTTATAGAAAAACTTGTATGAATGTGGAAATTAGTATGAAGAACGAATCGCCACTTAATAGTAGATGTTCAGGGGAATTGGTGGAGTGTAAACGTTGGGTCATTAATTTACAAATGATAGAACAAAGGAATAGATGTTCTATAATTAGTTGAACTCGATATATCATCTTATATTTGTATCAATTTCTTATGACTTGAACTAACAATTTAGCCATTATATGTGGTTATGTATACCTTAAGTATTGACGTTCGTAAATGCAATGTCCCTAAACTTCCCAAGTTACTGCTTCCCATGTGGTACATAACCCTGTAAATATTTTTTCTCGCTTGTTTTTGTTGTTTTAATGTATCCTTTAAAATGTGTACATGTACCTTTGTATAGGACCCCACTGAAAACCATTTTTAAAAAATTTATTGAATGGGCTGTCCTTTTCAAATATGAGAAATAAAAAGAAAATAATAAATTCATGAAACCGAGAAGATTTTTTTTCTGGTATAAAAAAAAGACAGGATTAGAACAGTTCCCCTTGACAGTTCATCACTATGAAGTTAACAATAACTGACAGGCCTGGACGGAAGGAAATGACCATTTGAATTGTAAATAAACCCACAACGACTCATTAATTAGGTCCGAGTAATTAATATCGACGATATTCTGGAACCTTTCAGATGGATATGTATTTTCATAGTAAGAGACGTTTATTGAAACAGACGGATCAGTTTAATGAAGTCGATTTTTGTCAATGAGTGGATTCAAGGAAGCGTCATCTTTGCTTAATTTGATCTGTCAAGAAATTGTATACCTTATTCATGCGTCTTAATTGATTAAATCTGTGACGTTATTGAACAAAAATCCTACGAGTTAAAACCATCACAAGAAATGACAGAGGTCCTATACGAAATACGGACGAATTCTAAAAATACCATGATTCTCAGATTCGCCTCTTGATCGTGAAGTTTTACATATGATAGTCTCTCGAATATAAGATATTGATTGAATTGTTGGATTGAATTATATGCACTAAAAGTCCCTGACCATTGCGAAAATGAAGTAGTGTTCAAGACATCAGCTAAATCTATAAGCTCTCGCTCATCGCACTGGTGCCCGTTTCCCCGCAACATTTTGCAATGAAGTCTTCCCTGTTTACATTATGGACCTAATAAGTAGAAACCACTTCCGGTCTCATGAAACATGGGTTACATTATTATGGAAGCTTTAATACAAGTGCCGACAAGATGGTGACATAATTTAGGCCAAGAAGACGAGAAGAGGACTTAAAAGACAAGATGACGAGTTGTTGCAACTCAGCAAATCGACTTGATGTCACAAGATGTCACAAATTTAATAGAGACCGATGTAATAAGAAGTGACAGCACTCTAGAAAGTGAGGAAAGGAAATTAGCTTGTCGATCCGTCACTTCGTAGTTTGATTCTGAGATCTATAGATGCAGTAGAAAATGGAGGTTAATACAAATCGCATCACATAAATTAATATATACA